CAGCTTGGGATCTGAATATAGTGCTCCAACACCTCACAAGTGAGGCTTATGAACCGTTGGAATCGACAACCTTTGAATTTCTCTCACAGAAAACATTATTCCTGTTATCTCTAGCGACGGCAGCCAGGATGTCAGAAATTCACGCACTAGATTATGAGAGGATACAGTTTGATGACAATCAAAACACAGTTCACTTGGGACTAAGATGGGATTTCATCGCCAAAAATCAATTGCCAGGTCAACCAGACAGATTATTCCATATTCCTGCACTCTCCTCGATTCTCGATCTCAAGATACACTGGACTTATCTCTATGCCCAGTCAGAGCTCTCAAAATCTATTTACGACGTTCCAAAACAAGGCGACGACTTCTCAAACGATTATTCATCCCTTTATCGGCAACAACTCAGACAGAAGTCTCTCGTACCACCATATCTATATGGATAAGAACTGTCATACTTCGCACCTACAAGGCTGCAGGACTCGACCTTCCAAAAGCATCAAATCCCCATGAGATCAGGGCATTGGCTTCCACACACTCGCTTCTACATGGTAACTGTTCATTAAATACCATCATGGAAGGCTGCTTTTGAACCGACATGGTGTTTGCTAATCACTATCTGAGAGATATCACCACCGAGGACGCCTCAGGTATTCACCATTTCGGGTCCCATGGTCCTCGCGACAGCAGTTGACAGTCCCTCGTGAGACGCTAACACATAGTCTTACGAGATTATTATGTATATTTCATACCAGTATTATCTAGCTTATAACTCTACGGAGTTTTAGGGCTATTTATATGCTTAGCTTAAGTCTACTCAGCCTTAAGCTTGTACTGATGATTATGTTCAGTTGGGTAGCTTCTCCATGTGGGAGTCGCTTTTATATCTTTATTGCTATTATCATAGTATATTATTATTGTAATACCCCATCTATGGCAGTGTATAAACTTATGGTTTATAGTAGCAGGAATTATCCTAAGTCAGTGCCATTATAAAGTTCCCGTAAGGGGGTTATTACAGTTATATATATATATAAATCACTAATTAATTTTATAAATCCAAAGTATTCTGTTCTTTCCCACCTCCGTTTCCGTAGGATTCTACAAGCAAAAGAGCATGAGTCAGGATAAGGAAAAATATGTAATTTTTAGAGTAAAATTGATATTTTATACTTATCCTGACTCATGAGGTAAGCCCTCCCATCCTCCCCACATAACACTTTGGATTTCCCTGTAAATTCAAGTGTTGGGCTCGCTATATCAGGAGAGAGTGAAGCATGAGGCCAGAAGGTGGCGCCGCCTTTCCCGCGCAAAGGCAAAGGGAGGCAACTCTTGGTGAGTACTAATTAGTGATTTTACATTGAAGGGAGCTTCAATTAAGGAGATACAAGTGTTCCACTATGTTCGCAAGAAGAAGAAGACAAGCAAAAGAGCATGAGTCAGGATAAGTATAAAATATCAATTTTACTCTAAAAATTACATTTATGTCAGGTAGCTGGCTTAATGCTAAATATGACATTAAATATCAAATGAACAAACATTCTCCCTTTTCATATATATTACCCAGCTCTTGGATATACATTTGTAATATTTTAGTACTTTAGCCCTCATTGTTTGCCTAAGTATGATACTATAGACAAAGATCCCAGGAACAAGTTAATGGCTGCATGCTATAGCTGTAATATTGCTGACCATGGCCTACAATATGCACGCGCCAATGCAGATCTTGGTGACTGAAAATATATGAAGTTTCCACCCTATCATGCTTTTAGTGTAAATCCCCGATACACATGTACTAGTCCCACATTGCTTTTTACTCTGCCTCTTGCACCCACCTCCACTTAGCAGTCAGCTTCAAGGTAGATGTGTCACATTTTCTCATGCAAGATGTTGTGGTTTATATTTCAAATATATTTTATGGTCATATATGGTGATCATATATGATGGTTGTAACCTAATAAACGAATGCTGTGTTATGTTGGCTTCCAGAAACAAGACATTTTTTGCATGTCTATTTCCTGTACATATGGTATATAAAAGCTTTAGATTCAAATAGAAATATTTGAGCTGCTTGCGCCTGTAGTGATATGCCTATCGATATTATGATCCACATATCTGCAGTCCAGGTTTTGTGAACATGTGAGTTATGATTTATGTGATGTTTGCACCATAAGCTATTGATCTTTATCACCCACTCACTTGATCATAGACCTTTTAACGTTAACTGACCAGTTGGGTTTTTTATGAACTGACCTAAATGAAAGCAGATAATTGTAATATACTGAGAGAAACAAATAAAGGAAATTAAAGCGTTCCTTTCATATTTTCCAGTTTTCATCACCAGCTTTGAATAGCGCTGTGGGAGGAAATGTGAGAATAAATAAAGGAACACTGCCATGAAATGGTGTTCCCTTATTTGTTTCCCTCAGTATATACTAGTATCATGAGGAAAGGTGATGACGTTATATTGTTACCACACTTCCACATTTTAGTCAAATTATCAAAAAGGCCATATCCAATGAGAACAGTTGGTCTGGTCCATTATCTTTCATATTCTCCAGTTAGTAATGCTTCCTCGTTGTCCCTAAGTGGTAAGTAATGTCTACCAAGGGTATAGTGTGTTGCAGTGTTTGTGTGTTGTTGCAGTGGTACCCATGTTAGACAGACCACCTGACCCACGACTAGCTCCTCTGTTAAGCTGGGTTTGACAGGAACAAATAGAGGATGTGTTAGACCTACCTGGACACAATGTTGACATAGCATTTGGAGTCAATAACTTCATTTAAGACCAAGTTTGCCTACGCTGCCTTAGAAAGTTGACCTCATTGTAACTGGGTCCGTCCAGAACCCAAGTACTGACCATTTTGTAGCTTGGCTTCTTTCAAGTAGATTAGGATATAGCGTCAGGATAGGAAGTAATCTTATTGACAAGGTAATGTATTATGGCTTCCTGTCAGGGCTAACAGTTATCAAAATGAACAGAATATACTGGCAGTGCTTTTTGTGCTTCATCTGAGTTTTGAGCAATATTGTTTTTACAAAACATCAGTGCTTGTACATCCATAAAATATAGTTGGACTGACAGACAGTAGTACTAGTAGTAGGACTGTAACCTGTTTAATTTTGTTTGTGGCATTGGTTTTGGCGGTTCTGTTCTGTAAAATTCAAACACAACTAATTGCAAAATGCTAAGTAGGTTCAGGACAAGACTTGCATGATCTAGTAATGAGTCCATGTGACCATTGGGGAATTGAGGAGTGCTTGTGTTAAGCTGGACTGAAGATGCACCTCATAAATTTTCTGTACTTGTTTTACGTATTTTTTATATTTAAAAATAGGCCAATAAAAAACTTTGTTTTGAAATTTTAAATCAGCACTACTGTAAGTCATCAAATCTGGGTGTTTGGAGAAAATGTTCACTTGCTGATTGCTCTCTTTTCATCAGAAATTAGTTACTGTGATCCGTAAGTAAGTAGAAGTAAATTATAGTATGTGAGGTGACTGCAGATACTCTGTACATTCCATAGGGGTGGACGGCAGGTCACTAAGTAAGACTTTCAGATGCAGCTATGGTGTCAAGCTTTTATCTGGGTTCGTGACATTCCGTGTATATATAAGCATGGCAAAGCATTCACCTGGTGACTGTGTCTTTGTATGGCAGAATTTTATGTTATATTTTCTGAACTCTATTTCTATCATTGCCCTATTTATGTGGCTGTTGATTCACACTGATTGTCTACATGGTTTGTGATCAGACAGCAAGTGTGACAAATACAAAGTTTGTTCATGTCAGTGTCAGTTCAGTATTGTGATGCTAGGGGCCAGAGAACAGTACATAAATGTGTTCTTATCACAAAAAAGTCAAACTTGGATAATAAATCAGTGAATATCATAATTGTCTGACATTTAATGCCTGTACCTTAATCTGGCCAGCTATAAGCTGCTAATATGTCTGAATTAGTCTTCTGTAGGATGAAAAAAGTACTGTGAAGGAGACCATTTTGCCCTGTGACTTTTGTCAATAGTCTGAAGAGAAACATTTTTTGCTAAAAAAAAATGGCTGCTTGTTGTAAGAGGCGACTAATAGGATTGGGTGGCCAGGCTTGCTGACTTCGTTGACACATGTCATCGTATCCCAAATGTGTAGATCGATGCTCATGCTGTTGATCACTGGATTGTTTGGTCCAAACTTGAGTATTTCCAGACTGCCGCCATATAGCTGTAATATTGCTCTTTGCGGCATAAAACTAAACTCACTCGCTCACTATGTCATGAAATGGCATCAGCCATCTGTGTGTTTATCATAAACGTTCTTGCTGTTCTCATCTGATCTGGGTACCGATCCACAAATTGTTCGTAGCGTTATTACCTATCGTAACGCTATACTTTATCATGGGCTTACAACTGGCATAATACTACAAACGCTTTGTGGATAGGGCCCCTGATCTTTAACATGGCTGCCATGTTAACCATGTTGAAAATGATACTTTTCCTTTTGGTCAGTCAGAAGTTTTAATCTTTCAGAAGTTTTAGCCAGCTTGAACATTTCACCATTATGTACCACTTTAAACTGGTAGTTTGTTGCATTTATTACATCTTGTCATACACCTTTTGGATTAGGTTGGTTTATCAAGTTGAAATTGATTGATATGATTCTAGCAACTTGTGAATTTTGTCTGATTTAAATATTACATCATTTATGCAGTAAGCATGTTGAGTGCAATGCCCAGTAAATTAGGTTTTAATGTAAATGCTGTGACATATTTTTATCACTGTTACATGGATAGCCAACTATTTGATAACCATTCATAACATGCTTGATGGATCCAAGGTATGTTGGATATGTGGGTTATCATGCTATCACTATTGTTGAAGTTAAGATACTGTATGATCATGAATTGTGTGGCATATCTCTGTGTATGGGCACAATGTTCAGAAAGTCTCTGTGTTGTTATCAAGAGAGATGTGATTGTAACAGAACCTGGACGTGTGTATTACAGGTAGTAGCAAGGCCAAAGACACCGCCAGTAAGTATGGTGAAATATACCATGCCTGTCATATTTAGTTTTGCAGTGCCATGGATGTTGTGGAATGCCCTTCTCACATCAAGCCATGCCATTTACAAACACTCACTGTGTGTGTTCATGTGTGTCCTTCCCATACCTGAGTGGCACAAACACTAATTGTTTATCAGTCTTTTGTAAATTTCCACTTTGTATTTTTACAAATCAGAGAAACTGGTGTAAAGCTTATTTCAACCTGTTCAGATACTTAAGGATATTGCCAACACGTTTCTTATTACTTGGCTGGACCCTGCAGTTGTTTTGAGATGGGAAAAATACATTAATGTAACCATGGCAACAGTGCTTAAAAGCACCTCATGATAAATTAACTGTGTTCCATAGACACAAAAGAGCCAAATCCAACTAATCAGGGCTCTTCCAAACAAAGATGACAAAAGTCTTTGGGTTCTTGAGGTCCAAGTAATAATGATGTTTGATGGAAAGAAATTCTTCATACAACATGTTATAGGACAATGTAAAATATCTGATATGTGAAATTGTTTTTGGCATGTGTGATTGATGTGTGCCTACTACAATATGTATGTGTGTTTAATCACCAAATTCCATATATAACTCAAATAGTGATGTGTGCCGTGTATGCTGAATATATTTGGGTAGATTGCATTTAGTGAGTTTAGTTGTGCTGCATATAGCATATAATTTGCTGTCAGTATTAGTTGCTCAGCCAGTGATTGTGATTTATTTGCTAATTTAGTGCAAAATCAGCAGTGCATAGCTAAAGCAGATTAGTTTTGGGGTAAATAGTTGCCGTTTGCCTTCAGATAGCTTCTCTGTATGCTGCTGTTACAATGGATATTAGTAGCCGGAGTGCTAGTACCATTATATTGGTACCATTATACTGGTGTAGCAGCATGAGTTGACAAGTAGTGTGTTATAGTATGCTTCTGTGTATGACATTTTGCAGTGTAATGTTACGTCAACCTGGTAAACAGCCTGTAATCAGAGATTGGAATCATAGGTTCTGATTTATATTTACAGCATTATGAAATACCATAAGCAGATGTACAGTGATGTGTAATATTAACACCTGCTCCTGTAACTTGCATGTGGGGCCTATTATTTAGTACTGTCCAATACAAAAAAACAAATAGTTTAGAGAAAGAAACTGTTGTTTCAGAAATTCAGTGTTTGAAGAAACTATGTCTGTGGACATGAATATGGATGAGTATAGATTTTGGCAATTGTGAAAGATAAATTAGGGTAGAATATTTAACAATGATGAGTGTGACGAAAATAGATGCTCTTGCAAGAGCAGGAGCACTAGAACAAACCAGAATTGTTTCCCTTTATCATGTTCAATATTGACTTTGTGGATGACATCTTCTTTTATTTCATGAGTACGACATTTCGATACAGATTCCTGTAGTTTGTCAACGTCGCACTCACAAAATAAAAGGAGTTATTCATTAAGTTTGTCAATATTGCACTTCCCAACTTCTAAAATCTTCTTGCCACTGGCAAAGAAGATAGCTTCATGTTATTAGGAGAAATCTTCTTTGTCCCTAATGGTTAAAGCATTGGCTCTTCATTGGGCTGTTGAAACTTGTCGGTTCAGTATATCATAATGCAATAAAAACAACTGGTACATGTAATTTCGATTTTCGTACCGTCATTTCTATCTAGTCATAAAATGACAGTTTTGTTCATTCAAACTAACAAAGATTATGTTTGTTAATAAACAATGTAAGGTTTGGCTCTTGTTGTCAATTTTCTGCATTATGATCATATTGCATATACCATACTGAAACAGACCGAACCAAAGGCCTTGTACTGCTATAAGTATCGCACCATGATAAGAGCGTACCGTTTCAGCCCTATCAAGCACAGGCACTGGCACAGTCTTGGTTATTACCACTAGGAATATTGCTGAAAAGAATCACTAACCTTTTGACCATTGTGAAGGACCAGTGAAAATGGCTGTTGTTCAGGTTCTGTTGGGTGTTGTGATACAGAAACCAAAGACAGGTGTATATGAATCATTACTGACCAGCTCCAGCAGTGGCAGTCCCTTCCACCAGATGGACAAGGGGCAGAGGATGACACACCAGCTAGTGTTTAATGTCAGACCCAAGGTTTGCTGAAGCTGAGTAAACAGTTGGCAAATGGCAGAGATCTTGTGTTTGAATGTTTATACAAATGAATGTAGCCAGCCCACTCCCAAATGTCACACTCTGACACACTGATGGCCATGCTGGGAGATGCAGGCTGTAGGTCAGGGACTCTGTAGCTCATGTCTTAGTGCTGCATTCAAGTAAGTGCTTTGGGTATTTTCCCTTGGTTCACCATGGAGACATTGGTAATAGTTTCGTTATTTCAGTCAGTTTCCTACTTGTCGTGTTATTATATTGATACCATATTCAATCTGAGAGGCTGGTGATGAGGCGGTGGGTAGCCTATTGGTTAAAACATTCGCTCGACAAGCCGAAGACCCGGGTTAAATTCTCCACATGGGTACAATATTTGAAATCTATTTCTGGTGTTCCCCGCTGTGATATTGTTGGAATATTGCTAAAATCGGTGTAAAACTAATCTCACCCACTCATCCTTCATACTGTGGAAGAAGACATGTAGCATTTAATGTTTAGCAGATTTAGTATCACTGGGTTTCAGTAGTCTTGTTTGGTCTAGCTAAGTTACTATAGTATAATACTCCAGTTTAAGGTTTTTCTTTAGACTGAAGCCTTATATCATGTAATATTCATTACTGGTCTGTGACCCTAGCATTCAGTACATTGATGCAAATTGGTTTTAAAAGGGTCCCATTGATCCTTGTTGTTTATCTGATAATGTTTATCATGTTCAAGCGGACACGCATACAGTGTCTCTCAAAATGTGTTAGTGTCAGCATGTAAGAACGTCCTGCTTGTAAGCAGGCTATTGAGAATTGTTTGGCTACCTATTCTGACTTCATAGTGAGGTGTCATAGGGTCCCATGGCATGGATTGTTGCTTATGTTGTCAAGCACAAGTTTGTCTAACCAGACTGTAGTAGTTTAAGGTTTTTATTTGTAGCTGGAATAGTTTGCTGATGTAACAACATGAAGCTGTTGATGTTTTACTAAGTACAACTGTACCCATTATTATCCCCCGCCGCACGTTTAGAGCGAAGCGGGGGATATAGTATTAGGCTCCGTCCGTCCGTACAAATTGGAATATCTTAAGAACCGTTGACTAGATTCTTTTCATATTTGGTACCTAGGTTCATCACGGTATAAGAAAGGTCCAAGTCAGGTTTGGTGACCTTGACCTTCATTTCAAGGTCACAAGGGGACTTTAACGTTTTACCGTTGTCAGCGAGATATCTAAAGTACAGGGCAGGTGAAGGTGCAGGGCCCAGTCGATTTTGGTGACCTTCACTTAAATTTCAAGGTCACGGCGACACTTTGAAGATTTCAGCATGTTAACCTGCATGTTAAGCATGTCAGTGAGATACCTCAAGAACCATTCTCTGGATTTTCTTCATATTTGACAACAAGCCTTATCTAGGGAAGGCGCAGAGCCCAGTCGACTTTGGTCACCTTCACCTAATCTTCAAGGTCATGGTGACACTTTGAAGATTTCAGCATATTAAACTGCATGTTATGCTTGTCAGCAAGATACCTCAAGAATCTGTCACTGGATTTTCTTCATATTCAACGCCAAGCTTCATCCATGGAAGGCGTAGGGCCCAGTCAATTTTGGTGACCTTCACTCAATTTTCAAGGTCACGGCGACACTTTGAAGATTTCAGCATATTAAACTGCATGTTAAGATTGTCAGCAAGATATCTCAAGAACAGTTCACTGGATTTTCTTCATAGACTTTCAAGACTTCACTTGAATGCTTTTCAATAAGCAATTTCTTTATTACTGTTTTTGCATATTTCATCCACAATGACATTCACATCAAGGTCAAAGTGAGTCTTGAAAATATTTGTGTGTTTGAACAACTATAGAGCAAGATATCAAGAGAGGTTGACTGGTCATGTTTTTGTTGACAGTTAACTTCATCTTAAACTACAACCTTCACTTTCATTACTTTTTAAGTTTGATTTGATAATTTGCGGAGGGGGATTATGTCACCTTAGCGACAATGTATATGTATATCTAACTTTAGGATTATGATGAGTGTGTGTTCATCATAGTGGTATCTCTGACTGAAGGCTACATTTGTGTGTGTTCATCATAGTGGTATCTCTGACTGAAGGCTACATTTGTGTGTGTTCATCATAGTGGTATCTCTGACTGAAGGCTACATTTGTGTGTGTAGATGATTGCAATGTTTCCGACACGAGGCTAGCTAAGAATGTGTGTAGATGATTGTGATCACATGACACAGAGCTAGCAGAGATTGTGTGTAGATGATTGTGTTCACCCGACGTAAATCTAGCTAAGATTGTCTGTAGATGATTGTGATCACCGACACAAGGACTAGCACAAGGCTAGCAGAGAGTGTGTGAAGTTGATTGTGTTCACCCGACGTAAGGCTAGCTGAGATTGTCTGTAGATGATTGTGATCACCTGCCACAAGGCTAGCAGAGATTGTTTGTAGATGATTGTGATCACCTACCACAAGGCTAGCAGAGATTGTCTGTAGATGATTGTGATCACCTACCACAAGGCTAGCAGAGATTGTCTGTAGATGATTGTGATCACCTACCACAAGGCTAGCAGAGATTGTCTGTAGATGATTGTGATCACCTGCCTCAAGGCTAGCAGAGATTGTGTGTAGATGATTGTGATCACCCGACACAAGGCTAGCAGAGATTGTCTGTAGATGATTGTGATCACCTGCCACAAGGCTAGCAGAGATTGTGTGTAGATGATTGTGATCACCTGCCACAAGGCTAGCAGAGATTGTGTGTAGATGATTGTGATCACCCGACACAAGGCTAGCAGAGATTGTTTGTAGATGATTGTGATCACCCAATGTAAGGCTAGCAGAGATTGTTTGTAGATGATTGTGATCACCCGACACAAGGCTAGCAGAGATTGTTTGTAGATGATTGTGATCACCCAACACAAGGCTAGCAGAGATTGTGTGTAGATGATTGTGTTCAAGGCTAGCAGAGATTGTGTGTAGATGATTGTGATCACCCGCCACTAGCAGAGATTGTGTGTAGATGATTGTGATCACCGACACACAAGATGTTGTGTCACCTGGACACAAGGCTAGCAGATGATTGTGTTCACCCGATGTAAGGCTAGCAGAGATTGTCTGTAGATGATTGTGATCACCTGCCACAAGGCTAGCAGAGATTGTTTGTAGATGATTGTGATCACCTACCACAAGGCTAGCAGAGATTGTCTGTAGATGATTGTGATCACCTGCCTCAAGGCTAGCAGAGATTGTGTGTAGATGATTGTGATCACCCGACACAAGGCTAGCAGAGATTGTCTGTAGATGATTGTGATCACCTGCCACAAGGCTAGCAGAGATTGTTTGTAGATGATTGTGATCACCTGCCATGGCTAGCAGAGATTGTTTGTAGATGATTGTGATCACCCGACGTAAGGCTAGCAGAGATTGTTTGAAGATGATTGTGATCACCTGCCACAAGGCTAGCAGAGATTGTTTGTAGATGATTGTGATCACCTGCCACAAGGCTAGCTGAGATTGTTTGTAGATGATTGTGATCACCCAACACAAGGCTAGTGTGTGTAGATGACAGAGCTCTGTCACATGGCTCTCAGCTCATCCCTGCAGTTGTCTAGCAGGACTCTGCTGTTGTAACCTTTAAAGGCTCTGTGTTTCATTGATTTTCTGGGTGTATATACATAAGTTAACACCTGCATTATTCCCAGAATGACAGTTGGTTGTTGATGGCATTGTACATGGCTGGAGCAGGTCACTGTGACCTACCTTCGACTGCATTTTGAAGCTGGAGCACAGATAGGGTTGGTGTTTAAATCATCTGGCTTTAGTTTTGTTTAATATATTGTCATCATTTCTTGTCTCTTTTAAAATTTAGCATTCCAGATCGTCAGATATTTTTGGAGCTGAGCTCTAGTCATGGAGCTGATGAACATGATTACTGATTTGCCTTGAAAAATCAATGCCATTCATTGTATTGCTTGTATACTGCTGCAGGTAATTTGTGTGTCGATCATTTGAAATATATCATGGTATATGATTAAAATTTTATGGTGAACTTTAAAGTATGTGTATGATAGATTGATACTGTTTAATATCAACATATTTATTTCCAAGCAGGGTTTAGCCAGTGTACATAATTACATATTGGTTTGTGTTTCTCATGTTTCTTATTGCAGAATTCCGGTAGCAGTCTTTGACTTCAGCCTTGGCCTAGTCAAATTTCTTAATTTGATTAAGCTTAGGTAATAAAAGTGCAAATATTAACAGTAAAAATATTAGACATGTCACGTTACAAAATGGCTGGGACTGCTTGGGACAAATTATTTTGGTACGTCAGATGTATGTTTCATCTGCTGACACCTGTGATAGGTTCCGTGTTTCTAACGTGTCAAGATATGTATGTAGGTATGCCCCGCCCAGGAATGTCGCCCATGTCCCACGGCCCTCCACCAGGGATGTCCACCATGGATAGGAAGAGGCCAGCCCCGCCTGACCCAAGGACAGCGCATCAGTTAAAGGCGTAAGATTGCATTGTGGGATTGGGTTTTGTCTAACATTTTATCAGAATGATTCCAATACCTGATGCTTGTTGTAAGACGAGGGGCAGTTGTGTAGCCAAGTGGTTAAAGCGTTTGCTCATCACGCCAAAGACCTGGGTTTGATTCCCCACAATGGGTACAATGTGTGAAGCCCATTTCTGGTGTCCCTTGCCGTGATATTACTGGAATATTGTGGAAAGTGGCGTAAACTAAACTAACTCACTCACTCACGACCTCATGACCTGATGGTATAGCTTTGTTCATGCTGTCAACCACCGGTTTGTCCAGATTTGAATATTACCAGCCATTGTAATGTAAATGAATGTTTCTGAAAGCAGCTTATAACACTGGCACTGTCACTAGTGTCAGTGGAAATGTCAAACCGTTTAGGTATCAGATTGAACAATGTATTCTGGAAGATGATTGTATCAATGTTATATTGTAACTTCCTGAATAAATGTTATTCATATATATTCACATTCTAGTAAGAAGAAAAAGAAGATAGCTGATAAGATTTTACCCCAACGAGTGAGTATGCTTTGTACAGTCAAATATTTGGACTCATCATGGTCATTAATCATGGCGTTTCCATGAATGTCAGATATATCTTTGTGACACATTCTGTGAGAAAGTTTTGATAATCATAGTGATTGAATCTTGTAACCCTGTAGGCAACAATATGCCGTGTCAAGTCTACGCTGAAACTATTTGTAGCCTGCATCTTGTTGAAAATCATTTGTGAGAATAAATGTTGCCGTGAAGATCTACAGATATTACTAAGATCATGTGACATTATGGAGTAATAATGATTCATCAATCCAGACATTTGTCCTTCCAACTAATATCACAGGGAAACTCCTATATTAATGGACTTGTTGATTTCTCTGTGTGATGGGTTGAGCCTAATATTTTCAGTGGGTTGAAAAGTCAATTTCAGGAATTAGTGAAGACTATTTTGCAGACTAATTAGACTGCAGGATTCCCATATGTCATGGTATAATGGTTGAAGTGTAATGTAGAGGTATAATGGTTGAAGTGTAATGTAGAGGTATAATGGTTGAAGTGTAATGTAGAGGTATAATGGTTGAAGTGTAATGTAGAGGTATAATGGTTGAAGTGTAATGTAGAGGAATAATGATTGAAGTGTAATGTAGAGGTATAATGGTTGAAGTGTAATGTAGAGGTATAATGGTTGAAGTGTAATGTAGAGGTATAATGGTTGAAGTGTAATGTAGAGGTATAATGGTTGAAGTGTAATGTAGAGCACTACTGTCATGTCTGCCATGTATTATCTACCTTGTGTGTTGCATGTAGGTGCGAGATTTGGTGCCTGAGTCACAGGCATACATGGACCTGCTGGCTTTTGAACGCAAGCTGGATGCCACTATTATGAGGAAGAGGTTGGACATCCAGGAAGCACTCAAGCGTCCTATGAAAGTAAGCTTTTTGATCTTTGTGTTGAATCACCACTTATAAGCAGCTAAGGCTTAATAGATTTGTGAATTTTCATCCCTGCCCTGACCATTTTACTGCAATCATCATTATTTACCCAATGCATTTTCTAACCCGTGAAGATCCAGGTTAGAATTGGTCTTCAGTAACTCATACTTGTTGTAAGAGGAGACTGGCAGGATCGGGTGGTCAGGCTCGCTGACTTGATTGACACATGTCATTGTATTGCAGTTGTGTAAAGTGATGTTCATGTTGTTGATCACTGGATTGTCTAGTCCAGACTCGATTATTTACAGACTATGCCATAAAGCTGGAATACTAGGCATTTTGCTATCAGAAATAGGAAACATTTGCATTGTCACTTCTTGAAGATATTTACACCAACAGGACTGGAAAGACTCTTGCGGAAATAACCCCACTTTTAGCCAGTGGTGGCAAGAGGGACCTGCCTTTTCCCCAGCTTAAATGAAATAAAGATGCAGATCAATGAAAAAGGGTGCACACTTCCCAAGTCACAAAGTGAACAGGGGCGGGTTACGGGTGGGACTGTTGCAAACTGACTCAATTGACACATGTGGTGTCGACAAAAAGCTTCGGGCGGCGTGGGATGTGGTGTGTTGTACCTTCCTTAAGATTTGGTTCCAACAATGAACACTGATACTGTTTTCACTGTCTTGTGTTCCTGTTTCAGCAAAAGAGAAAGTTGAGGATCTTCATCTCAAACACATTCTATCCCCCTAAGCCTGAAGGAGAGGTGAGTAAATGCCGATGCATATATCCCGCATAACCTTTCTTGGAAGTCTTTTTTACTAATCTGGAGTTTATATATCCTGCCCAATTTAGAGCTGTGAAGTGTTTCAGTGATGCACAAACATGTTAAATCTGAAGCGCAATGCTTGTGTAAGCCAGAAACTCGGCCAGCAGGGTTATATTGGAGGTTCTATTTAAACAGACTGCTTTGCAGATCTGCCAAACAAACCCAACATTTAACATGTTACCTGTTCAGTAATGAAAAAACACTTCAAAGTAGGCTGCCAACATTGCCAAGAGAGCAAGGGGAATTAACCTTTTGCTCTGTCATTCCTAGACACAATTCTTTCAATTTACATTGATTTTTACAATGTCTGTTATTTTTATTTATTTCACCCAACTGATACTAATTTGAAGATTGCAAATTAGAAAGATTTGTGGTTTATAGATATATGTCTAATTATTGTAACTAAGGACCTTTGTTTCTTTTGAAAAACCTCAGTAAATGAAGTGATTAACAAGTGATTAGATCAGAAACGGTCTGGCATGAGAGTGTGTTATCCTGTTGATGTGTTTTTCAGGATGGAGAGGAGTCGGTGCCAAGCTGGGAGCTGAGAGTGGAGGGGAGACTGCTAGAGGACGTAAGTACACCACAGAGTAGACCATCTAGTACATGACAGAGTATGCTGCAGCATACCATGTTGACTACAGAGTACTCAACTGTGTACACTAGAGTACATCATAAGACGTTGCTGAATACACCACATTATGCAACTATGTACACCAGTGTGTACACAACAGGACAAGTCTTATTACACCACAGTGCAAAACTGTGTACTGTCGTGTACATCACAGGAGCCTACTCAGTACATTGTGATACACAACTTTGTACAATACAGCACACTTCTTAGGATACAACAGCACACTTCTTAGGAGACAACAGCACACTTCTTAGGAGACAACAGCACACTTCTTAGGAGACAACAGCACACTACTCAGTACATCACAGCACACTACTCAGTACATCACAGCACACAACTTAGGAGACAACAGCTCACTACTCAGTACATCACAGCACACTTCTTAGGAGACAACAGCACACTACTCAGTACATCACAGCACACTACTCAGTACATCACAGCACACTACTTAGGAGACAACAGCTCACTACTCAGTACATCACAGCACTCTACTCAGTACATCACAGCACACTACTTAGGAGACAATAGCACACTTCTTAGGAGACAACAGCACACTACTCAGTACATCACAGCACACTACTCAGTACATCACAGCACACTACTCAGTACATCACAGCACACTACTCAGTACATCACAGCACTCTACTCAGTACATCACAGCACACTACTTAGGAGACAATAGCACACTTCTTAGGAGACAACAGCACACTACTCAGTACATCACAGCACACTACTTAGGAGACAACAGCTCACTACTCAGTACATCACAGCACTCTACTCAGTACATCACAGCACACTACTTAGGAGACAATAGCACACTTCTTAGGAGACAACAGCACACTACTCAGTACATCACAGCACACTACTCAGTACATCACAGCACACTACTCAGTACATCACAGCACACTACTTAGTACACAACAGCACTCCACATCACAGCACATCACAGCACACTACTTAGGAGACAACAGCACACTACTACTAGTACATCACAGCACACTACTCAGCATCACAGCACACTACTAGTACATCACAGCAGACAACACTACATCACAGCACACTACTCACAACAGCACACTACTCAGTACATCACAGCACACTTTTTAGGAGACAACAGCACACTACTTAGTACATCACAGCACACTACTCAGTATATCAGCACATTAGGAGAGCACACTACTCAGTACATCACAGCACACTACTCAGTACATACACAGCACAGCACACTACTTAGGAGACAACAGCTTCAGTACATCACAGCACACTACTTAGGAGACAACAGCTCACTACTCAGTACATCACAGCACACTATTTAGGAGACAACAGCACACTACTTAGTACATCACAGCACACTACTTAGTACAGACAACAGCACACTACTCAGTACATCACAGCACACTACTCAGTACATCACAGCACACTACTCAGTACATCACAGCACACTACTCAGTACATTACAGCACACTACTCAGTACATCACAGCACACTACTTAGGAGACAACAGCACACTACTCAGTACATCACAGCACACTACTCAGTACACCACAGCACACTACTCAGTACATCACAGCACACTACTTAGGAGACAACAGCTCACTACTCAGTACATCACAGCACACTACTCAGTATATCACAGCACACTTCTTAGGAGACAACAGCACACTACTCAGTACATCACAGCACACTACTTAGGAGACAACAGCACACTACTCAGTACATCACAGCACACTACTTAGGAGACAACAGCACACTACTCAGTACATCACAGCACACTACTTAGGAGACAACAGCTCACTACTCAGTACATCACAGCACACTACTTAGGAGACAACAGCACACTACTCAGTACATCACAGCACACTACTTAGGAGACAACAGCACACTACTCAGTACATCACAGCACACTACTTAGGAGACAACAGCACACTACTCAGTACATCACAGCACACTACTTAGGAGACAACAGCACACTACTCAGTACATCACAGCACACTACTTAGGAGACAACAGCACACTACTCAGTACATCACAGCACACAACTAGAGCACACTGGTGTACACTACTGAATACACTATTGAGTACACTACAGCCACTATATACATTACACTGTTGAGTAGGTATAAATAACAGACAACTTAAAAGTAAAGAACACTCTTTTACAAGATTTTTTTTTCAACATGTGATTGTAGTGATCATAAATAATGAATTGAATTCATGAAGGAATACTATTCAGCTGCACCAGGGCTACAATTGTGTGCTCTAGAGTACACCACAATACATAGCTGAGTACATTAGTGTACACCACTGTGTCATACATTTATGAGGTGAGGAGTCAAAATGACTGCCTTCATTCAGATATTTTGAACCCACATGGGTACAATGTGAGAAGCCCATTTCTGGTGTCCCCTGCCGTGATGTTGCTGGAATATTGCTAAAAGCGCCATAAAACCAAACTCAGTCAGTCAGTCAGATATTTTGAATATGGATGATGATGATGATGATGATGATGATGATGATGATGATGTAGTACTAATGCCATTGTATTGTGGTTTTTAGTCTGCAACAGCCAAGCTGAGTGATGCCAACAAAGTCAAGAGGAAGTTCTCCTCCTTCTTCAAGAGTCTGGTGATCGAGCTGGACAAAGATCTGTATGGCCCAGACAACCATCTTGTGGAGGTCAGTAGATTGGTGGCGTTGTGCATCAAAATACAGATTGCATAAGGGCTACACGCATTAATATTTTTTATGTGTGACTATTTCCAAGAAAGGCAGTGTATGCACCATTTTGTAAAAGTCCTGAGGGTGACTGTCAAAGAATGTGAACCCAGCCTGATAACTTCTAGGGCTAGCCAAAATATCAAGGCACAATATTATCTGATAATATGATTCTCTTAGAGCATATATATTGGTGATATGAACGTCTTTCAGTCCTTCCAGCTTGGCTGTATGAATGTGGAGAATTGTATGCATAAATGAGGCAAATTAAGCATCACAACTTGTAATTGAATACCAGCAATTATCATGTGATTATTGTCCTCCGCCACAACGAGGAACGGGGGGACTATGTATTCAGCGGCGTCCGTATGTACATATGTACGAACATCCGTCCCGATTGTTGTTAACACGATATCTCATGAACTATTGTACCCAATGTCTTCAAATTTGGTGACAGCCTACATTTGGGGATTATCAAGACACCAGTCGATTTGGGTGACCTTGACCTTATCTTCAAGGTCACCACAACACTTTGAACACTTTTCAAACTCTTGTTTACGCGACATCTCATGGACTGTTGTACCCAATGTCTTCACATTTGGTGACAGCCTACATTGGGAGATTACGCAGACACCCGTTGATTTGGGTGACCTTGACCTTATCTTCAACTTAATTAAACGCGATATCTCATAAAACATTGCACCCAATGTTTCAGTTATGTCGACAGCCTACATTGGTTGATTATGCAGACACCAGGCATCTTGTATGTGACCAAAAAATATAAAGTAGTAAATATAGATATTCCATTCTTTAGCGGTGGTGGACATTGCCATATCAGTGGCAAACACTTGTTTATTATCATTTTGTCAAATTATTGTGAATGGACTATAGTTGACAGTATTTTATTGATGGGATGGTGTATCCTGACATCCAAGTATGTTCTAGTATGTCGTGGTCCAGAGCATGGTACACAGATGGGTTAAGTGGGAGTATACGTGTACATCGGGATGGGTTACTGCCCTTGTCAAGCTTGACAGCACCTGTATGGATGTGGTCCTGCCCAACATGTAACTTGTTATTCAATTGTATGTTTCTTCTTAGGCCAATTACTTTGTTCAACGTGCTTCTTTTCACCTAGCAATAGATGGGTACCTGGTAGGATGAGCAATGCATGTAGTGCCTACCAGGCATCTTGAATTGTATGACCGCCCCCGTGGTGTAGTGGTAAGAGCGTCCACCTGGAGAGCGGAAGGTCGCGGGTTCAACCCCCGACCGCATCATACCTAAAGACGTTAAAATATGGTACTTGTTGGTCCCTGCCTGGCTCTCGGCATTAATGGGTAAAACAAGGACTGGTCGGCTCGGAGTCAGTGTAATGTGTCTGAGTGGGGTATTCATGCTTCACTGCGGCATGGTATCTCAGTGGGCGAGCACTATAAAACCAGCTTCAGTCTGGGCTAGTACAAGCAGCCGCACATACACATACACACGCATGCACGTCGTCATATGAGCGAAATATTCTCAAGTACGACGTTAAACCCAATTTCACCTCACCTCACCTCTTGAATTGTATATTCCCCAAATTAATAAATTACAAAGCACATAATAAAGTCAAGTAATTAAAGTGCTGGAGTAAGATGTCACATCCTTTTGATGGTACCCAGCAACCTATGATAAGGGTTCGAATAACCTGAATTTGTCTTTGGATTGTCAGCTCCCATGCTCATTCCTTCTATTCCACAATGTTTACATGATAATGTTGTCCTCTCCAGTGGCATCGTACACCCAACACACAGGAGACGGATGGCTTCCAGGTGAAGAGACCAGGGGACCAGAATGTCAAGTGTACCGTGCTGTTGATGCTGGACTACCAGGTAGGCAGATGGTCTCCTACCATGTATATACTTATATATACAACAGTTTACTAGAACTCTCCATTATAGCAGGGGGTGGAAATAAGCCATTGCCCGACGTCCGAGTCCAGTGTTTTTTTCTGTCGGGCAAGCAAATTTGTATATCACACTGTACCGGTGTCCAGTTGACTTTCCAATGTTAATTATGTTGTTTATTTAAAAAAATCAACAAGAAAACGGCCGGTATAGTGGAAAAATTATCAGGGCAAGTGATTTTACATGTGCCACTGTTCCGGAGTACACTAGCAATTTTAAAGTTATTTCCACCCCTGTTATAGGAAACTCTGTGTGGACAAACCAAGTTAATGCCAGTCAATAAATGAATTTTAAATGCATGTATGTGCATGCATGCATGCATGTTAGTTGGGTTAGGTTCATTTGTTCTCGTTGTGGGATATTTCGCCTTACAATGATGTTTTCATACAGAATAACTATAGCAGGAAAGTGAAGATATCCTGACATGGAATACCTATTTTTAGCATGTTTTTGACTAGCAACATGGCGGTAGGGACACGATAAGCTTTCTATCGATGTATAACATGAATGGGTTCGTCACTGCTTGGGATGTTGTTATGGGTGAGGGTTCAGTGTTTTCAGGGTTGGATTACACACATATTTAAATATTATCGCACATACGATGATGATTGTACCAGTTTATATTGGTTACGAAGACTCTTTATTGAAAACAATGTGTTGTATTGTGAAGTACATGTGTTAAATGTTCAAAAAAAATCAACATCTAGATTTTGACATATTGAAGCAAAAATGTCAATTTAAGGTGCCGTGTCTGGCCTTAATCTACAGTGATAATGTATTTACTGTGATTCACATGGAACAAGAATTGTTAATAATTTCATTAAGAAGGTAGTCAAGGCAAAAATGTGTTCTAAGCCTTTAAGGGTGTTTGGTAGTGAGGCAGACCTGTTTTGGATGTCTGAAGGTTACAGTAAGCGACCTTGCAGATCGTGTGTCACTGTACCCTGACAACATGGACAGGTGATCATGCAGTCAACCACTGGTCTGCCAGGCCAGATTGTCGACTGCTTTGTCCTTATTGGTATATTGCTGACTAGTCTTATCTAAGATTATCTAGTAAGGGATAATGTGACTGAGGGTTGTCTTGGCATGTTTCAGCCAATGCAGTTCAAGTTGGACCCCCGACTGGCCCGCTTACTGGGGATCCACACCCAGACCCGGCCCGTCATCATCAACGCCCTGTGGCAGTACATCAAGACACACAAGCTGCAGGATGAGCATGAGCGGGAGTACATCAACTGTGACCGATACCTTGAACAGGTACATCATGCACCTTCAAACTCCGAGATCGCCTCCGTGGTGTAGTGGTTAGAGCGTCCGCCCGGAGAGCGGAAGGTCGCGGGTTCGATCCCTGACCTCGTCATACCAAAAGATATTAAAATATGGTACTTGTTGGTCCCTGCCTGGCGCTCGGCATTAATGGGTACAACAAGGACTGGTTGGCTCGGAGTCAGTATAATGTGTCTGAGTGGGGTATTCATGCTTCACTGCGGCATGGTATCTCAGTGGGCTAGCACTATAAAACCAGCTTCAGTCTGGGCTAGTACAAGCAGCCTCACATACACATACACACACATGCATGTCGTCATATGAGCGAAATGTTCTCAAGCACGACGTTAAATCCAATTTCACCTCACCTCACCTCAAACTCCGATTTGTAGCTGTTGGTGAACATATGTCAGACTTATCTCAGTGTGTGTGAGGCCATATATTTATTGTAATGTTTTATAATATATTCCCAGTGAAAATGGCCTGGCCACAAGGCTTATTGTTGTCAATTGTTGCCTGATTAATCCTTAAATTTTTCTATGTTTTTCAAAGCATGGGAGCTTAGTTTAGATAGACAAGGAAACATAACTTCTCCGGGAAAAAAGCAAATATGCTTAACATTCATTGAAATCATATTAAAACCAGGCATCATTAACTCTTTCAACACCAGTTAACCAGAAGCTTTTACTGCCATAACACCGAGGTCCCAGAGACTCTAATGTCATGTCAAATGTAATCATTTAAATTGAGTGGAAGATTTATCACCCGTCTGAACAAAATATCTGTAATTTTTCAGATATTTGAGTGCAAGCGAATGAAGTTTGCAGAGATTCCTGCCAAGCTACACCCTCTCCTGATGCCACCAGACCCCATCGTCATTAACCACATCATAACGTAAGTATGCTCTAACGTTTTCTCTCTGTTAAAACTTCAATTGAGGAGTAAAACTATAAATGAGGAATAAATAAATTAATGGAGGTTCATAAGTGCAAATCATGGACTGCAGAGTTGCATCCCTTTGTCACATAATGATCCTGCACATTCTAGATATGCCCCACTTATGGCTGTTGCTTTGTTAACACCTTACATGCTCATCAGCTCATTATAGCTGAAAACATCGGGTGCTACTGTAAGGTTTCATCCACAGTTAGCTAACACACTTAACAGTGACTTGTTAAGTGATGTTAACCCTATATCAATACTAATTTAATGTATTTGTTCGGGTGGTGGGGTAGCCTTGTGGTTAAAGCGTTCGCTCGTCACGCCGAAGGCCTGGGTTTGAGTCCCCACATGGGTACAATGTGTGAAGCCCATTTCTTGTGTCCCCCGCCGTGATATTGCAGGAATATTGCTAAAAGTGGCATAAAACCATACTCATATTACTCTTGTCACTATTTTATGTTGAATGTTTCTTCACATGGCTCAGAGGGTAAATTTTAGGACTGTAATATGTAAATAATGAGCAGATTTAACCCGTTTTCCAGAGTTGAAGGTCCAGACGCCAAGAAGACAGCCTGCTATGACATTGACGTGGAAGTGGTAGGTTTAACACATGTTCATATCAGCCAGGGGAGGTAACTCACAAGGTAGAAATGTTTCCTATCTATTTAGTGAAGAATTTGCTTTTCTGGTTAGTAAATTTATTTCTGTTTTTCTTGAATCAGTGTGAATTGTTGTGATTGTGTAGGTTTAACAAAGATAAATATGTCCTTCTTTTAACATGCAATGACTATTTGGAATTAGCAGAATCTCACTCCATGTTATAAGAGGTGGTTAAGATGTGTACTGGATGATCTCTACATGAGCTGAGTGAGGGTAGTCTGTGCTAGAATGGATGGTCAGCTGGTCACCTTAGTTTCCTGGCTGACCTGTGCCAGCTATTGCATCCCTTACCCTTGCCAAGTTGAGCTTGTCATTGGTTGTCAAATATTGCACATGTTGTATGAGACTCACCCTAATTTTGGTCTTCTTTGTCTGCCAGCACCTCACCTTTCATAGTTCACTTGTACCATGTAGCTTTTGGCCTTTTTCTTGCAACAAATTGACATGCCAACACGTAAATGAAATAATGTTCAAAAAGGCATTAGATCGAACTTATGATTTTAAATTTATGTATGTCACATTTTTTCACTTCACTCAACTTTTTATGATGTGACTGAAACATAGTTGAGCTCAGCTGTGTGATGCATCTGTCCACCATAGTGTCAGACAGAAGGTCCATGGAATACTAACTGGTGCTTTAGTCTGCCACAGTGTCTGACAGATAGATGGTCCTTAGACCACTAATCAGTGCCTCTGTCTGCCACAGTGTTTGGTGGGCTGTCCTTAGACAGGTAACTAGTGCCTCTGTCTGCCCGTGTCTGATGGACTGTCTGTAGACAAGTAACTAGTGCCTCTGTCTGCCAGTGTCTGATGGACTGTCTGTAGACAAGTAACTAGTGCCCCTGTCTGCCAGTGTCTGATGGACTGTCTGTAGACAAGTAACTAGTGCCCCAGTCTGCCAGTGTCTGATGGACTGTCTGTAGACAAGTAACTAGTGCCCCAATCTGCCCGTGTCTGATGGACTGTCTGTAGACAAGTAACTAGTGCCCCAGTCTGCCAGTGTCTGATGGACTGTCTGTAGACAAGTAACTAGTGCCCCAGTCTACCAGTGTCTGATGGACTGACTGTAGACAAGTAACTAGTGCCCCAGTCTGCCAGTGTCTGATGGACTGTCTGTAGACAAGTAACTAGTGCCTAATGGACTGTCTGTAGACAAGTAACTAGCCCCTGTCTGCCAGTGTCTGATGGACTGTCTGTAGACAAGTAACTAGTGCCCTGTCTGTCCACCAGTGTCTGATGGACTGTCTGTAGACATGTAACTAGTGCCCCTGTCTGCCAGTGTCTGATGGACTGTCTGTAGACATGTAACTAGTGCCTCTGTCTGCATGTAACTAGTGCCTCTGTCTGATGGACTGTCTGTAGACAGGTAACTAGTGCCCCTGTCTACCAGTCTGATGTCTGATGGAACTGTGCCTGTAGACATGTAACTAGTGCCCCTGTCTGCCCGTGTCTGATGGACTGTCTGTAGACATGTAACTAGTGCCCCTGTCTGCCCGTGTCTGATGGACTGTCTGTAGACAAGTAACTAGTGCCCCAGTCTGCCAGTGTCTGATGGACCCCACTCTGTAGACAGACTTGTAACTAGTGCCCCTGTCTGCCAGTGTCTGATGGACTGTCTGTAGACATGTAACTAGTGCCCCAGTCTGCCAGTGTCTGATGGACTGTCTGTAGACATGTAACTAGTGCCCCTGTCTGCCAGTGTCTGATGGACTGTCTGTAGACATGTAACTAGTGCCTGTGTCTGCCCGTGTCTGATGGACTGTCTGTAGACATGTAACTAGTGCCCAAATCTGCTCGTGTTCGATGGACTGTCTGATGGACTGTCTGTAGACAGGTAACTACAAGTGCCCCTCTGTCTGCCAGTGTCTGATGGACTGTCTGTAGACATGTAACTAGTGCCCCAGTCTGCCAGTGTCTGATGGACTGTCTGTAGACAAGTAACAGTGCCTCTGTCTGCCCGTGTCTGATGGAACTAGTGCCTCTGTCTGCCAGTGTCTGATGGACTGTCTGTAGACATGTAACTAGTGCCCCTGTCTGCCAGTGTCTGATGGACTGTCTGTAGACATGTAACTAGTGCCTCTGTCTGCCAGTGTCTGATGGACTGTCTGTAGACATGTAACTAGTGCCTCTGTCTGCCAGTGTCTGATGGACTGTCTGTAGACATGTAACTAGTGCCTCTGTCTGCCCAGTGTCTGATGGACTGTCCCTCTGTCTGCCAGTGTCTGATGGACTGTCTGTAGTGTCTGATGGACTGTCTGTAGACATGTAACTAGTGCCTCTGTCTGCCCGTGTCTGATGGACTGTCTGTAGACATGTAACTAGTGCCCCAGTCTGCCAGTGTCTGATGGACTGTCTGTAGACAAGTAACTAGTGCCTCTGTCTGCCCGTGTCTGATGGACTGTCTGTAGACATGTAACTAGTGCCTCTGTCTGTCGACAAGTAACTAGTGCCTCTGTCTGCCCGTGTCTGATGGACTGTCTGTAGACATGTAACTAGTGCCCGAATCTGCTCGTGTCTGATGGACTGTCTGTAGACATGTAACTAGTGCCTCTGTCTGCCCGTGTCTGATGGACTGTCTGTAGTCAAGTAACTAGTGCCTCTGTCTGCCCGTGTCTGATGGACTGTCTGTAGACATGTAACTAGTGCCCCTCTCTACCCGTGTCTGATGGACTGTCCGTAGACAGGTAACTAGTGCCTCTGACCTAGCTGATGATATTGCACATGACTGTGGTGTGTGGGGGACAAGTACTTGCCTTGTCTGCCACTGACATAACTGAGCCTCTGACCTAGCTGTGATATTGCGATGACTGCGGTGTTGGGGGGGACTTGTTCACTGACTTAACTGAGCATGTGACTGTATTTACTAGGACGACACCTTGAAGCAGCAGATGAACTCCTTCCTCCTGTCCACTCAGAGTCAGCAGGAGATTGCCTCTCTCGACAACAAGGTAGGTCTCACATCAGGGAGGATACTTACAGGCTCTTCTCACTGTCATATCAAACACACCTCTCTGCAGAATGCAAGAACCAATGCAAGAAAACATGTCAGTTTGAATCATTCAGCCAGTTTTCTTATTTTATCAGAATATTTAGTACCACCTCTATTTTGAGAAGATAATATTGATAAGAATAAAAAAGTTCAAGAGCCAGACATTCAATACCAAACTAAATTTGCTATCAGCAGTACACAAGACATAGTGCCTGTGTGTGATGGATCTTTGTACATGTTGATATTGAGATGGCTGTAGTTTGCTGAACAGAGTTATGTCCCCTGTCATCACCACACCGATGTTTGTGGGTTTCACATCTCAAAACTGCATGTTTGGGTTCCTTTCGAAATGTATACTGAAAGGCTGTGATATTACTGAAGTACCGTTAAAAATCAATATGAAGTTTGCTGAACAGAGTTATGTCCCCTGTCATCACCATACCCATGTTTGTGGGTTTCACTTCTGTCATCTCAAAATTACATGTTTGGGTTCCTTTCAGGATATATACTGAAAGGCTGTGTTATAGTTGAAGTACCGCTAAAAATCAATATGAACCCAATAATTTTATTGACTCACTGTTAACATATTTTGAATAATATTGCAAACATTTGAAGAAATATTGTGTCAGAACGACCCTTAAGTGTGGATGCCTTGTGTGACTAAACTAAAAGCGTGTTATAGATCCATGAGACAGTGGAGACAATCAACCAGCTCAAGACCAACAGAGAGTTCTTCCTCAGCTTTGCCAAGGATCCCCAGGAATTCATCAACAACTGGCTCATCTCTCAGACAAGAGACCTAAAGGTAGGAACGTTTTCATAAAGGCAACTTTACGGCCTGCCCCTGTTAACAAATTTAAATGAGTCTCCAGCGATCTATGCTGGTCAAACAAAGCAACCAAATGGGTCAAATGGTCATATTTGTTATTAATGTATGTAAATACTGGGCCTTACAAATGGGTCTTTGTTTCAAAATCCTCAAATAAATATTCTTTAACCCATAATATTGAGAAGAGTGTATGCTAGGATAATCACGGTGTAGAGATATCTATACACAATATGGTGAATTTTTCATCAATATTGAAGTTTTGTGTTGCTAATCTAGAATATACCTGTTACATCAGAGCATGACAGACGTGGTGGGTAACCCAGAGGAGGAGAGGCGCTCTGACTTCTTCTACCAGCCTTGGTCACAGGAGGCCGTGTGCAGATACTTCTACAGCAAGGTAAGCATTGTGTGGCCCTCACACTCCAAACAGAGCTAGCCTAATGACAGGTGACAAGGTGGGCACAAGTGTTCATCGCACACTCACACCTGGACAAACAATTGTATTCATTTGATTCTTTGTCCGTTTGGGGACACAGAGTAGATCCCTGTACCCATGTCCTAGACTACTGTGTGGGTGGGGCAGTTACAGTGTATCAATTGACAGATCATGTGTCACGGCACATGGCATCGGTTCCACTGAAGCTGTTTAGGAATTACTGAAATAATTCCTGGAATATTGGACCTGTGAAGATCTGGGTTAGGGTTGGTGTTCAATAACCCATGCTTGTCGTAAGAGGCGACTAACGGGATTGGGTGGTCAGGCTTACTGACTTGATTGACACATGCCATCGTATCCCAATTGTGTAGATTGATGCTCATGCTGTTGATCACTGGATTGTTTGGTCCAGACTTGATTATTTACAGACCGGCCGCCATATAGCTGGAATATTGCTGGATGCAGTGTAAAACTAAACTCACTCACTCACTCATATTGCAGAGTTATCCTTAATGTTTGATTGGACATTCAACTATTTAGGTAAGAGTCAGTGTAGAAATTGTGTTTTGGCATAAATTATAGTCACAGCAAAAATGCTAAATTTGTTCAACCTTAATTATATATGTAGATGGATACATGGTAAATGTGATGGTTTCAGGTTCAACAACGGCGCACTGAACTGGAGCAGGCACTGGGTATCCGCAACACTTAGATCTGCAGCATCGACTGGCACAGCATCAGCTGACACAGCATCGACTCCATCACTCCTGCAACATCCTTCTCACCTGACACCACCTGGATAGGATCTGTGTCATCCTGGTGGAAACTTGGTTGAACACCAGAATGGGATAACTGGATCTCATGAGTTTACTCTGTGGTTCTTTTATGAACATAAAATGTATTGTTACCAGGCACATGTTTTTATAATCTCTGAGATGTAAGAATGTAAGATGGGTGTCTAAATCCAAAAGGTATAATAGAGATTGTCATAGCGAACCCAGATATTTTATGAACAAAAGTGAATGAATTAATCAAAAGTCAGCATCATAGCCATTACCATTCTTCATACATCTGTCACTGTTGACAGTTGACCTTCATCATGCTTCAGTAATCATGTACCTTCAGAATAAAGTCCACTTCATATCTCACCTAGGTTGTGTTTTGTGTGGTAGTGATGGATTGCAGGGTCAGTTCTTGTATACTATGAAGCATTCAGATACACCTGATTCAAATAGCACCTACAGCTGATGGAGACCTGATTTAGCACTTGTGAGAGGTACTTATCTGTATGTGGTCATTAGACTTTCTGATTGGTTGATTTCTTAAAATCATACCTTCATGACATGAGAGTATGAGCTACTGGTTTGTCTGGCCCAGACTTACCTGTGAAGATCCGGGTTAGAAATGATCTTCATTAACCATGTTTGTCATAAGAGGCGAGTAACGGGATCGGGTGTTCAGGCTCGATGACTTGGTTGACATATGTCATTGTATCCCAGTTGCATAGATCGATGCTCATGTTGTTGATCACTGGATTGTCTGGTCCAGGCTTGATTACTTACAGACCTTCGTCACATAGCTGGAAAATTGCTGAGTGCGGCATTAAACAACATTCACTCACTCTGGCCCAGATTTGATTATTTACAGGATACCTAGAATTATTATGGAATAACAGTAGTAGTATTAAACAACAAATAAACAAATTAAACAACAAACAATCGTATACTGCAGAAATTGATGTAATGAGCATGAAGCTTGTCATTGATGCTGTTGTGAACACAAACATGGTCACTCACCTTGGGCCCAGATGCATGTCTGCAATCATTATAGTTGACAGTCGGTTTGATGAACCTAGAACCCACTACCTTAGTTACACGGATGATTCAGTCATGACACTGTCATGTATTGGGAGATCTCAGCACAAAGTGAAACAGACTTACTTAAAAATTCCTTGTTTTCAATACACCTGTGGTTTGGTTTGACCAAACACAATCACCCAGAGAGGGTATGTTAGACCATGTCATTCAAAATATTCATATATCTGCTTTTGAATAGCAGAATATGTGTTCATTTAAAGTTTGACTACAATCCTGCCTCTGTGCATTACAAACCCGTGAAGGTCCGGGTTAGACTGATCTTCAGTAGCCCATGCTTGTCATAAGAGGCGACTAATGGGATCGGGTGGTCAGGCTCGCTGACTTGTTGACACATGTCATCGGTTCCCAATTACGCAGATCAATGCTCATGCTGTTGATCACTGGATTGTCTGGTCCAGATTTGATTATTTACAGATCACCGCCATATAGCTGGAATATTGCTGAGTGCTGCATAAAACTAAACTCACTGTGCATCACTGTTAGTAATACTCCATCAACTCCAGTTTGAATGACATAGTGGGGAATTTAACAAGTGTGTTGATGCTATTTGGCCACCATCCCCTGTCAGAAGCAGGTGCATAGATAAGCACAGGCCCACACTTGTCATCATACCACCAGCCGGTGCCATACTGTGCCGCACAGCCATAGGGGTCCTTGTCATAGGTACTGAAAGGGACTCCAGCCAAACTCCCCGCCCCTGTGACCACACTGGCAGCAAACCCATCGCCATAGTCACTCAGATCAGCTCGAAAGTGTCCATAAGTGAAGGAATAACCTTCAACTGCGCCATTAACTGTGAAGTTGTCATACACTGCTTTCACACCACTGTAGATGTTGAAGACAATTGTAAGTCGGTACTCCCCCTGTCGTGTCAAGGCGTACATTGCTTCCAGTCCTAACCAAGTCGAACCTTCCGCTGGAGAGAAACCTGTTTGGTACATGGCGAATGTTTGGTTTAGGTCCCCAGGATCTATCTTCCCGTACACAAGAGCAAAGACAGTATTTGATGTCTGGCACAGCATGTTGAAGTGGGCATTATAGCCTCTGGGTTGTAATTTGATTATTCCAAATGGTTCTGCAAATTCTGAGCAGTCTGGAAATAATGAAATGAAAATATTTGATGCAACTTAATATTTGTGTAAGTGGGAGATCCAAGAAACCATTACAGGTAGATGTGTATGCGTAGCAGACAGACTATTCAGTAAGACTATTGATTATTATTTAGTGTAGGACTCCTATGTTCCCTCTGCAGGGGATTATCAGTGCAAGACTTATCTGTGTGAGGGACTATTCAAGACTCATATCTGTGTGAGGGACTATTCAGTATAAGACTTGTCGGGTCATGAAGCTTCTATTCAGCGTAATACTCAACCATATCTGTATTTGACTATTCAGTAAGACTCACCATATCTGTATTTGACTATTCATTGTAAGACTCACCATATCTGTATATGACTATTCGACTGTGTAGACTCACCATATCTGTATATGACTATTCACTGTGACTCACCATATCTGTAGACTATTCACCTCATATCTGTATATGACTATTCATTGTAAGACTCACCATATCTGTATTTGACTATTCACTGTAAGACTCACCATATCTGTATTTGACTATATGACTATTCACTGTAAGACTCACCATATCTGTATTTGACTATTCACTGTAAGACTCACCATATCTGTATATGACTATTCACTGTAAGACTCACCATATCTGTATTTGACTATTCACTGTAAGACTCACCATATCTGTATTTGACTATTCACTGTAAGACTCACCATATCTGTATATGACTATTCAGTGTAAGACTCACCATATCTGTATATGACTATTCACTGTAAGACTCACCATATCTGTATATGACTATTCACTGTAAGACTCACCATATCTGTATTTGACTATTCACTGTAAGACTCACCATATCTGTATATGACTATTCACTGTAAGACTCACCATATCTGTATATGACTATTCACTGTAAGACTCACCATATCTGTATATGACTATTCAGTGTAAGACTCACCATATCTGTATATGACTATTCACTGTAAGACTCACCATATCTGTATATGACTATTCACTGTAAGACTCACCATATCTGTATTTGACTATTCACTGTAAGACTCACCATATCTGTATATGACTATTCACTGTAAGACTCACCATATCTGTATATGACTATTCACTGTAAGACTCACCACCATATCTGTATATGACTATTCACTGTAAGACTCACTGTACCATATATCTGTATTTGACTATTCACTGTAAGACTCACCATATCTGTATTTGACTATTCACTGTAAGACTCACCATATCTGTATATGACTATTCACTGTAAGACTCACCATATCTGTATTTGACTATTAACATATCTGTATTTGACTATTCACTGTAAGACTCACCATATCTGTATACTATTCACTGTAAGACTCACCATATCTGTATTTGACTATTCACTGTAAGACTCACCATATCTGTATTGGACTATTCACTGTAAGACTCACCATATCTGTATATGTAAGACTCATTCTGTATTTGACTATTCACTGTAAGACTCCACCATTCACCATATCTGTATATGACTATTCATTGACTATATCTGTATATGACTATTCACTGTAAGACTCACCATATCTGTATATGACTATTCACTGTAAGACTCACCATATCTGTATATGACTATTCACTGTAAGACTCCACCATACCATATTCACTGTAAGACTATGACTATTCTATTGTAAGACTCACCATATCTGTATATTGACTATTCACTGTAAGACTCACCATATCTGTATTGTGAGACTATTCACTGTATATGACTCTCACCATATCTGTATATGACTATTCACTGTAAGACTCACCATATCTGTATATGACTATTCACTGTAAGACTCACCATATCTGTATATGACTATTCACTGTAAGACTCACCATATCTGTATATGACTATTCACTGTAAGACTCACCATATCTGTATATGACTATTCATTGTAAGACTCACCATATCTGTATTTGACTATTCACTGTAAGACTCACCATATCTGTATATGACTATTCACTGTAAGACTCACCATATCTGTATTTGACTATTCACTGTAAGACTCACCATATCTGTATTTGACTATTCACTGTAAGACTCACCATATCTGTATTTGACTATTCACTGTAAGACTCACCATATCTGTATTTGACTATTCACTGTAAGACTCACCATATCTGTATTGACTATTCACTGTAAGACTCACCCATATCTGTATTTGACTATTCACTGTAAGACTCACCATATCTGTATTTATTCAGTGTAAGACTCACTATTCACTGTAAGACTCACCATATCTGTATTTGACTATTCACTGTAAGACTCACCATATCTGTATTTGACTATTCACTGTAAGACTCACCATATCTGTATTTGACTATTCACTGTAAGACTCACCATATCTGTATATGACTATTCACTGTAAGACTCACCATATCTGTATTGGACTATTCACTGTAAGACTCACCATATCTGTATATGACTATTCATCGTAAGACTCACCATATCTGTATATGACTATTCACTGTAAGATTCACCATATCTGTATTTGACTATTCACTGTAAGACTCACCATATCTGTATATGACTATTCACTGTAAGACTCACCATATCGGTATATGACTATTCACTGTAAGACTCACCATATCTGTATCTGCTACAGTAAGTGTCGTACCAGTCGATGGGGCAGGAACAGGTTACACCGTCGGGGTTCAGAACGCCACCATTCTCACATGGATTCAATAATTTTCGGCCATTTCTTCACAACACAATACATGCACATGTTCATGTCGATACATGAACATATATAATGTATTTTTTCCACTAAACATTTAAGAGGCACCGCTGGTTTGTAATCCAGATCATCTGTTTGCTTTGGTGAAGGAGACATTGGTAAGATACTTCTGAATCAAATTGTTTAAAGAGGGTATGGATGACTTCAGTCAGACTTGCCAGAGAACCACAGCCTATTCATCCAAGTTGTAAGGAATCGGAAGCACTACTTTGATAATTTACAAATAATCATATTTGGAAGATAACCTGAAATTCTAAGATTGAAGTAATGATAGAAAACCATTTTACACTTTGGAGAAACATACACATGAGAATGGCACTATTAAACCTATAAATGTTCACAACGTGAAATGGGCTCGTACCAATGACTTGGACCCTTAGACCATTGGGTCCTCCATAACCACAATTAATGGATGGCTCAGTAATAAATTAATAAAATAATTAAAAAAAGAATGTTACAAATACATTAAAACGCATTATCTACAATTCTAAGTTATAATGAGTTGATGTTAATAAAGAAATGCTTTCAAAAGTTGGAAGATAGATCATCTGAACAAGCAATAAGAAGATTTAACCTTAAGAGAATCATCCTCGATAATCTCCAGGGTATACGTTCTGATAAAATCTCCACTAGTATAGTATCTCCAGGGTACACCTTCCGAGAGAATTTCCCCTAGTAAAGTGGAGATTTATCGTGACGTATACCCTGGTTATTATCGAGGATGTAAGAGAATAAGCTGATACTGAAATATATGTCATCAATCATTCCAGTGATTCATCTTGATTATCAATTTACAAGACTACAAGCAGATTACCAGAAAGTTCCAGACTGTCCTAACTTTCATGTCAAATCATGTCCTAAAACAGTATTTTAGTTATATCATTGTGACGGTATATGTCCACAACTCAGGGATCATAATCAGGAAGGGGCGGTGGGGGGTACAGTGTGAAACCCATTTCTGGTGTCAATGGTTAAAGTGTTGGCTCGTCACGCCGAAAACTACCCGGGTTCCCCGCCGTGAATCCCCAAAACATTGGTACAATATGTGAAACCCATTTCTGGTGTCCCCCGCCGTGACGTTGCTGGAATATTGCTAAAAGCGGCATAAAACCAAATTCAGTCAGTCTGTCTGGTGTCCCCCGCCGTGATGTTGCTGGAATATTGCTAAAAGCGGCGTAAAACCAAACTCAGTCAGTCAGTCTGGTGTCCCCCGCCGTGATGTTGCTGGAATATTGCTAAAAGCGGCATAAAACTAAACTCAGTCAGTCAGTCTGGTGTCCCCCGCCGTGATGTTGCTGGAATATTGCTAAAAGCGGCGTAAAACTAAACTCAGTCAGTCATAATATTGCTAAAAGCGGCGTAAAACTAAACTCAGTCAGTCATAATCAGGAAGAATGTACACTGACGTACTAAAGAAAGTGTCACCGGATGTTTTCTGAAAATATTTTCAAGAGTAAATATTTTGAAAAATGTTTTGATTGTGACTTTCCAGTCACAAACGTTATGTACGTTATGCCAAATCTTTATTTCAAATATACCAGTAACACATTCTGTCATGACAGTTCCTATTGTCACTTTGACGGCCAGATCTCCGCATTCTTGAAGACTCCATTGTGAACTGAGGGAACACAAGATGGCGGCACCATCCTCCTGGCACAGGTGTCCGGACTTGCACTGAGAGTTGAGTACACACTCGTTCCCACAACCAACCAGACTGTCAACTCGCACCTTGACCAGTGTTGCATTGTCAATCTTCTTCTGACGACAGATGTACAAGGTCTTCTTGACCAGGTCATGACCTTCCCCTTGGACACCCAGCATCACCAGGGAGACGCCCCAGACCCAGACAGACAGCATTGTGGGGGTAGTGTGTGGAAACAGAGGACGGCAAACACACTCTCACCTTGTTGAAGGGGAGCTCGATAATGGATCGGCTTGTCTATTATGGTGGCCAGACCAATCTGCAAATGTAGGCAGTATTTTGGTAGCATGGACGGGGTAGGGTTAGTTGGTTTGTTGTGTAACGCTGCACTCAGTAATATTCCAGCTATATGGCGGCGGTCTAGAAATAACTGAGTATGGACCAGACAATCCAGTGATCAACATCATGAGCATCAATCTACGCAATTAGGATACGATGACATGTGTTAACCAAAGCAGCGAGTCTGACCACACGATCCCGTTATTCGCCTCTTACGACAAGCATGGGTTGCTGAAGTCCAATTCTAACCAGGTTGGGGTTGCGTAGTCCTGTTGTTATGGTCGAAGGCCTGTTCGATTCATATGGTCTCCCCCACCGTATTATTGCTGGAATATTACCGAAAGCGGTAGGGGAACAGACCGACTGGATTGTGGCATCAGTGAACTCAAGATAATGAGAATTATGATATCTACATTTATATCATGTTTCTGAAAATTCCATGGATTAATATTTTTGTTTCAGCTCTATAATGACAGTATTGGACGCAATGCCATCATAGCACGGTGGTAAATATTGCACATATGTGGGTAATAGTGAGTGAGTGAGTTTAGTTTTACGCCGCACTCAGCAATATTCCAGCTATATGGCGGCGGTCTGTAAATAATCAAGTCTGGACCAGACAATCCAGTGATCAACAGCATGAGCATCGATCTGCGCAATTTTGAACTGATGACATGTGCCAGCAAGCCTGACCACCCGAACCCGTAACGGAACAAGCGTGGGTTGCTGAAGATCAATACTTCACGGGTCATGTAAGGAATAGATCCCAGGGTGCCGTTACAAAACGATCTTAGGGCTAAGGTGACCGTAACTCCCATACCTTCACATAGACTTAAGGTAGTCGTAGCGCTAAGGTTGTTTTGTACAACGGTATGCTGGTCTTTTGTCTGAAGAGCCACGCTATATACATAAGGCTAACTCATCACTGCAGTGTTTTTTTCTGTCAACCGCCGGTTTGCCTGGTTTGCACCTGTTTATTTTGCATACGAACTCAAATACTAACAAACGCACGTACTCTTTCGAACACAACGCGGTACACTGATGTAGATAACGCACTCTAATGGGTGACAAAACCCTTTCCATGATCGTAAGAAATTTATGTTAACAACAGCGTCGATTGTGGTGAGGTGAAATGGGGTTTAACGTCGCACTTGTGTATGTGTGGCTTCTTGTACTAGCCCAGACTTAAGCCGGTTTTATAGTGCTAGTTCACTGAGATACCATGCCCCAGTGAACCATGAATACCCCACTCCGGGCCGACCAGTCCTCGGACGACGTGCATGCGTGTGTATGTGTATGTGCGGCTGCTTGTACTAGCCCAGACTTATGCTGGTTTTATAGTGCTAGCTCACTGCGATATCATGCCGCAGTGAAGCATGAATACCCCACTCAGACACATTATACTGACTCCGAGCCGACCAGTCCTTGTTGTACCCATTAATGCCGAGCGCCAGTCAGGGACCAACTATAGTACTGTCGGAAATAGAAAAACACTGTATTTTCTCATTTATCTAGTTAATTGATGTAGTTGAAAGGTGAAAGTGTGAAATATCTGTTAAACTAAGTTCGGCCTAACTACAGTCTCAGTGGTAGAGAGATAGGAAACGGAGAAAAGGGACTTTACTGAGGGGAAATTAGTGCAGAAATGAGCAATGCGGTTTTTTTCCAAGTCCAAAAAGACGTATTTGGAACAGACCATGGCTTTATGCAAATTAGTGTGCGACGATATTGTATTACAAAGGACACTTTTTCAATGCCCAATTTGAAATTAGACGTAGATTCATTATAAACGATAGCTGACGTAAAAAATAATAACTTTTATGCCGAAACTATTAAGGATGTAGCTACCATGCAGTCTCACTGTCACTATAAAAAGAAACAGATAGGAGGGGTCGCCTCAAAAGCAAAACCTGGGGTCGGGCTTGGGGATAGAGATATCAGCTAAGATAAGATAATCCTTTAGGGCAATTATACTGGGGAGGTACACGGCACATCATAACAATTTACTAATAATATCTAGTCCTGTCGATCTTCGGGTGGTCATGCCACCTATATACTACGATGCGTTTCTATGGTTTTCGGGTATCATACTCTCTTACATATCTCAACATAAACTTTATGAAAGAAAAACACGTAAGATGTTTAATCAGTAGATGAGACATAGTCAACACACATGAAAAAGCACAAAATATCTTTGAGATGACCCCTTGTGCCTGTAGGCAGCACGTGCATTTCATGCCAGGTGAGTCGACGGTCCGTCGTCATACCTGGCTGAGCGACCTAGTTGCCATCTGTAGTCTGATCTATTGTTTTCAGCAGCTATTCGTATTTTTTCTAAGTTTTGCCCGATTTTAGGAGTAAACATGCTTTTCTGGATATCGTATTACGCATCCCACTGAACGCCCAGTTAGGCCGAAGTGGGTTATTTCGACATATGCTATTTGCAATTGTGTCAATTTTAGGGATACAGAGTAACAACCTAAAAACAGTTTTTTTTCTATTTCCGACAGTACTATAGAACCTTATTTTAACGTCTTTTGGTCTGACGCGGCAGGGGATCGAACCCGCGATCTTCCGCTCTCTGGGCGGAGGTTCTAGCCATTACACCACGGAGGCGGTTCAGCGTCCAATGAAAGATGCCGACTGCATATATATTTACGAATCAATATTAGTATGTGATGGTATTTAGATTAAGGACCCTGAACCTGTGATTTCCGGACAATGCTGAATATCTGTGTATGTTCTTTGTATATATATAGACATACTACGTGTGTAGTATTGCATGGTGTGGAGAGGAGAACAACCAGTACACGGAACTGTTCAGTATGAGCGGAGTTACACTCAACCCGCGCAGTACCTAATAATAGTTTACACGTCACAGTCAGTTCCTGGAACCAGCGCTTCTTGGAAAGCTGGCTTTCAAGCACTGGATAAGATCGATGTAACTAACCTTGGTGCAG